TAAAGAAGAGTTGTCAACCATGGTCAGATGGTTTCATGTGTCATGCTACTGTGTTACAATCATGACAATGCAAATGAAGGCAATATGGGTGACCTTCACAATCTGTAAACCTCTTACAAATATCACAAACCAGCAAAAAATACCATTTGTTTACATCTTAGCCTGCATTAGCTAATATTTTAATCAGAAACAGCTAAAGTTGACCTGTGTTATATTTACAATTTCAGTTGTGATAGTTATTGTATGTAGAGTCTATTTAATAGAAAAATAAGTGGTCTTTTTAAAGTTAGATTCAACTTTTCTGCAACTGGATAAATGAGACATACAACAATAAACATGATTTTTTTCAAATCTCTTACTTGAATCAGTGTATAAAGGAGATGTGTTTTAGCCATTACTGTTGGAATTGGAAAATTGATAATGATTTATGCTCTGGGTTATCATAAATGTTGATATGCAGGGTCTATGGTAAACAAAAAATACTGAAATACTGATGTGCAGGGTCTATGGTTTACCATAAAAACTGATATGCAGGGTCTATGGTAGGTCATAAATACTGATATGCAGGGTCTATGGTTTACCATAAATACTGATATGCAGGGTCTATGGTTTACCATAAATACTGACATGCAGGGTCTATGGTTTATCATAAATACTGATATGCAGGGTCTATGGTTTACCATAAATACTGATATGCAGGGTCTATGGTTTACCATAAATACTGATATGCAGGGTCTATGGTTTACCATAAATACTGATATGCAGGGTCTTTTATACCATAAAACTGAAATGCAGGGATTATATAATTATTTGACATCCAATGTCATTTTACATATGCAAAAATACTACATGAGAGATAGTTTCATATTGATTTTATATGTACCGCAAACATGAAAATCACTTAAAATAATTATCTGCGAAGAAATTAAAACCTATTCATCTAATGCAAAAAAATGTGGTCAACACCTTCAGAAACTATGGTGGTATGCTTTAAGTGGCATACAAATATATATTAAGCTAATTTGTATAATATAGTGTTAAAGATGCTTAAGGTTTATAGCAGAATATATTCTCATTGAAATAACATAGCATTCATAGAACTATAAATGAACCAACATTCATGTTTAAATATCAATTATTTCCTCCCTTGGATGATAATGTTATGAGTCACAGATTTTTTATCAAGGTATATGTATTGATGCTTTTCAGGTGTACTTTTCATTGAAATATTTATCACCTTCATAGTCACAAAAACTGTTACATTATATGATTACATTTGTATGAAATGTTTCCTTCATTTTATTTCATATGTACATAGCATACACATACATACCTACACAAACTTTTCATTCAAATATTAGTCCACCGAGAGTCCCCTGAGTAAAAAAACAAAATAAAAAAAAAAATCAGGTGTGTATTTGTATACTTTTGTGTTTGTAGTTGTTATTTGTAGATTTTTTGTTAATATGTTTTGTCGGCAGGTACGACTGTAAGATATGTTATTGGTTTTTATTCAAAGAATATATAATACAGCTGTATTTTTTAAATTCTATTTAGTTTTGGTTCTTGTATCATGTAGATATTTTAAAGCCTGTTTTGATATGTTCATCTCTCTCTATTAAAGAATATCATAGTAAAAATTGTTAGTTTTCATTGTGATGTATGAAAGCATATATAGCCATCTCACACCTGTAGTGTACTGACAAACTTCATATAGTCTGACAGGTGACTCGGTAACATACACATCTGTAAAAGGAATCATAAGCCCACTTTCTCACAAAAAAAAGATAATGAAAAAAGGATGTTAATAACAATAATGGAAACTAATTTGTGTAGATGATTTTGTGGCTAAGATTCTTTAACAAAGAAGCTTTTTTCATATATTTTCCACATCAAAATGTTTTGTGAAAACAATCAACAGCCACAATGATTCCATACTTCACACTTTTTTCTGCACCAAATACAAATCACTCAGTCTTACATTATACCTGTAATTACTGTGACCTCTCCACCACGATGTTGTTGATGTTTATGTGAAATATGCTGATCTGAAGAATTACACTGAACAATACAAAATAAATTGGTCTTAGTATTTCTTTGAAAGAAGATCATTGAGGACTGTATCACAGTTGATCCCAGAGACAGGAGACCTTGTGTCAATATCATTCATTTGAATATATCTTTTAGCCCTTATATTAAGCATAAAAGAACTATTATCATGACTCTGGGACTTTCATTAGATCAGAAGAAGTGATTGAACAGTATAATACATTTGATCCCTGTGACCTTGAAAGTAACCCGAAATCATTCATTTGTACAAACATATAGGTGGTCCTTTTGCTTTTTAGATAGAATTTTGTTGAAAAATTGAAACTGGGTTGAGGTCAGCCTCTTAAACCAACTTGATAGTCCTTCATCCCAGCAGGCTACTTTCAAAAAAGCCTTACCCTTCTGTCAGGGTGAATGAAGAATTGGTATGGCAATTTGGAGATAATTGAACACGGTGACCTTGAAAATATCACAAGGTCATTCATTTTAACAAACCTATTAACTCACATTATTCTATGTATTGGTCCAATATCATAATTCTAGTTCTTTCAAATATTTGGAAAAAGAGTCATTTGTTTCTCAACACAAATATATTTATTCTAATAAATGACAGAGGTATCCTTGCCCTCCACAGAAGTGATGAAATGAAATAAAAGTTCATTCCAAATATTGAATACACATGTTTCTGTACCACTGAGTGTACATTGTAGTTACCAAGTATTAAATACACATGTTTCTGTACCACTGAGTGTACATTGTAGTTACCAAGTGTGGATCTGAGATAGCTAAGAAAGCTGAAATATTAAAAAGAAATGAAGAAATATCCTTACTAGTAAGATCACTGATCATATAAAGTAATGAGTTTGAAACTGAAATATTTTGAATAATTCATATTTGATAAAAATACAAAATATTCTAGTTCAAAATCGTACCACTTTTCATTAAGAATTAAGCCAGATCGCACAACTGAGCAACATAACCTTACAGATGTTTGTACACACAATCTGCCGATTATGGACGATGTACTTAAGATATTTGAATGTGTTTTGTAATCCCATAACTATGATCATTGTCAGGAGCTATATCTGACATTAACAACACTTTTGAATAGTGTATAGTTATGAGAACGAAACTTTCAATTGTCGGCGTTGACAGCTTAAGTACAGCACTCAGAATCTTCACATTTCTTTCAGTCACGATGACCGTCGTTTACAAACTCTCAGTGTCGCGATTTCAAACAATTTCAGACACAAAATACATATATCCTTTCAGTAACAAGTTTCTGAAACTGTTTTACTGTGGTTTGGTAATTTACATTCCGGAGACCCGGTGTCAATTAACGATAGAAACATCCTGGGAAAGTCGTCAATTTGGGGATTCCGTACTTTTTCCCCCGAGATGGTGCTATCTATTCCACTTCGACATAATTTGACCAACATTGGACTAACGTTAAGCGTTTTGAAGGAAGTTTGTCGTAATGTTACAGAAGGTTTGCCTCTGTAATTTGACAGATTTGTGATCAAGATGACTACGCTACGATTACATAGTGATTCGAGAAAGCTAAACCGAAGAACTAAGGACAACGATTGTTACAATCAATTGTAATTAGTATTTTTCATCATTTTGTAAATGAACCGATATCGATGAAATTTATGTATCGGTATTTTCCCGGAAAATTATATATAAAACTACCGTTAGCTAATAGGAACAAGGGATCCCATAGAGAACTTAGCGTCAACTATTACTCGGTCTTTACCAAGTTATTTTAAATTGTATTTTCCCCTGGAGTTTTCTATTATTTCCTCAGTTTTGCTCTTACATATATGAGATTTGAAAAGAAATTCTCTGAAGAAATATAGTGATAATTATTTTTCACTGCTAAATCAAAGATGATCACCTGTCGGCCATTTTGTTTCCTAATTAGTCCCTAAATGATAAGGGTATACCTTGGGACCAAGTAAACACGTGAAATTTGAGAAATGTCGATAACAAACTTTAATAGTCAATATCCAAAATGGCCACTTGTCTGTCATTTTGTTTTCCCAAACATTTTAAATTTTAGTCATGGACCCATGTGAACTTACTCCAAGATGACCGCCTGTTAGTTACTATGTTTTTCTAATAAGTTCTAAAATAGAAAAGAAAAAAAAGTGCAACTAGGGCCCAAGGGGAACCTATAGGTGAAATTTAAGAAAGTCCAAGCAGCACCCTCAACATATAGTGATAACAAATTTTCCTTGTCAAATTCCAAGATGGCTACCTGTCAGCCATTTTGCTTTTTTATCAATCCCAAAATCAAAAGAGCGCAAAACTAGGGGCTAAGGAGAACCTATATTTGAAATTTGAGAAATATCTGTCCAGTTCTTCTCAAGAAATAGCGATAACAAATTGATAGCCAAAATCTGTGCAGAATAGTTGATTACGTATATGACAATGGAGTAATGTGTTACAGTTTGTATGAATTTTAAGATACAAAATATAACAAAACTATGTAAGGACCTCACCACTCATAAGCCTGGCATGTTGAGTTTGGTTCACATGAGTCTATAAAGTGCCATCACAAGAGATGTGGCTATTCAGATATTTTTACTTCCGATGTGAATAATGAGGTAACTGTTGCTCCCCCGTACTTTGGGAATGAGTAAGTCCTGAGATACAGCCGAGCGTTATATATTCATATCAGACACCCTGACATAAGTCAGATGAAGTTCCTCCCAGGGGCACCTTGAGGGTGTTCTGAAAATCACGATAAAAGAAGAGCAATCCGTATTTATTTTGAATCCTCTGGTCTTCATCTTTACTTTAATATTATTTCTTACAAATATGGAAACATAATTTCAAACGTCTTTATTTATAAAGTGAAAAGCAAAAGTAAATTGCCACAGGTCGTGTTTACCTGGCCCTCTTGAGTGCCCCTTGTGCCAAATCTCTTCACTACATACTCTGTAAACACCTCATGCACTAGGCCCCCTCCTTGGGAAAAGTATAGAGTTACACTCAGCTGGTATATCCTAACTTCGTTTCGGAACTAATGGTACCGCTGACCAGGTCAACGTAAGCACAAGAGAAAAACGAATCCTTTGTTTCGCCAAACTTTTCTTTCTGAATCTCAACTAGTAGGATTATCATGGGGGTTTGGTTGAGATATTTTGCAGTGTTATGTCTTTGTGCTGCGTCATGGGCTGCGGAAGATTGTGGCGAGTGTAATAGGAACGCATGTCCAGTCCTGGACACGTCAAAATGTCTGGCCAGTTTTAAAAGGGATCGTTGCGACTGTTGTCTGGTATGTCTACAGCACGAGCTACAACCGTGTGACTTACCAAACCAGCCCTACCAGTACGGCGAATGCGGGGACTACCTCACGTGCACTAAAGGTGCAGGGAACGCAGGGCAGTGTACCTGTGTCAACCAAGAAGTGATCTGCGGTTCTGACGGCGTCACATACGATAATCTGTGTCAGCTCCATCAAGAGAATTCCCAGCGGGAGGAAGTGGTCATCGTCAAATCGTTCGGAAAGTGCAAAACAGAATTTCCGGGTATGTATACCCTTTATTATTATTATTATTATTATTATTATTTATCTGTACTTCAAGCTTGAAGAAAAATATTCGTGTTTAGGTGTTTTCACCAAAAAGCTCACCAAGCATGTTAAGACAACTGAAGTGTTGTGCAGATTCATATGTGTTAATCGTATTTATATGTAACTCTGATTATTATTTGTCACGTGATGTAAAACACATTAAAGTGATATAAACAACATTGCAGACTAAGTAATATGATATGATGGATGTAGTCTTCTGTTATACGTCCCTGGCTTGATCAAGTCTTTACCGCCATAACCTATAAATGTTGTATACTTTTATCATTATATTACTATACGACATCTTTTAATATAGACAGAAAATTAAATACACAAGATTGATAAAGGAAACAAACAAAAAACAGGGGAAAATCCATATTTATTTGCGATATTTACGTATATAATCACATAGCTGGGACTGGTGGTCTACCAATGCCAACTTTGTAACTTCGTAGTTTTGTGACTATAAGAATACAGACTTGTGTATTTATTTTAGAACTTTTTTAAAAATATGATAGGAGACTTTGTGTGATGCGATTCAAAGTTTTTGATTACAAAACGTTTTGTCACCTGATCATAAGCTCCCGATGTCTTGTTTTTGCTTTTTTTTTGGCTTGTCGCACGAGCTAGTATAGCTTATCTCTCTTGTCAATCAATTCAGATAACGTATTTCTTGAATTAGCGGAGGTCTGGCGAGGAGCTTGTGGGAAGCAGTAGAATAATATCCTTATCTTATCTACGATTACGTACCTACTTACTGTGAGATACGAAAGGTATTAAGGCACACTTAATACTTTTGACGACCACTTGAAAAAATTTGGGCGTAGAGGGGCCTCACCAGCGGGGATTATGACTGCAGCAACTGTTTGACCAATCAAACACATGTTTGCATGTTGTGTATTTATGTGATTAACACGTCAAATAAAGTCTTAAACATTGAGGGCGAAGCATGGGCTGGAATCACAGAGAATTAAGTACATATAATCTATTCCAACAGTTGTATTAAATTCGAGTATAAGTGTGATAGGTAATTCAAATAGGGAACCGTCGGATCAATATACAGTGACGTATTTGATGGATTGTGTTCTATTTTGTGTCCTGTTCAGGCCTCGAACTCACGATTTACGGCACCAAATCGCCAAACCAACTGTTTCTGGTGTATTTAGTTTAAACAATACTTTTATTCAATTTTCAACAATTTTACATGTAGATTATAAAAGGGATTTACACCGCATATATATCGGAATGGAAATACCAATGAAAGTCGTACCAGAATTGAAAATTTAGGACAGTGGTACTGTACATGTGTAACATGAGGAGGAAAATGCACTACCGGAAAGTGGTTCGAACCCGTGACCCTTCGAAATCTACCTGGTCGCCGACGATCGACCACCGTCCAGTTTAGTTCAATTACCTTATAACAGTTACACAAAAACAAGCGAGTAAAACCTGCCGAAAACTCTATCGTCTTACACTTGAAGTCACAGTTAGTACGTAGATTCCACGTAGACATTCAAACCACAGAGCTTCAGTTTCGGGATTTGGCGTGATGTATGACATAAGTAAATAACCACAACACTAAACAACAGTTTTAAAAGCATTCCGAAACCTTATAAAACGTTGTGGTATCGATGCTCAGTTTCGGGATTTTCTTTTTACATATCGATACCCCCAATTATTTTAAAAGGTTTCAGAATGTGTGTAAATTATAGGGGTTTCTCACACATCGTATTTAACTGATTAAAAAAGTAAAATCATCACTTAAAAATCAACTTTTAACTGTAAGGAAATGTTAAATCTGTTTCAACAAAGTTAAAATTCCCCCCTACTCTCTCTCAAGCTAACAAATCATTTAAGACGGATTTGCCTCGTCATCAACATGTGGTTTTCTACTTATAAACACACATCTATCGTCTATGATCCTGCATGGACATATGTATGACTCACAGAAGAACGCTATACCGTAGACGCTTGCTAATTTATGTATATATATATATACGTGTATTGAAGAAGTTAATTGTACGAGTAAATAGTAATACATGTACTTGTACCAAGAACACAGGGATTTGTCTCGATGAGTTAATGAATGACTATGCGGATCTGACGCCCCTCCCCCTTCCTGTCTCTTCCTCATAGTCAATTGATAATTCACTCATCTAGACAAGCCCCTGTGCCACAAAGAACGTAAAACATGTTGAATTTTCTTTATGAGTTTTCTTCTCCTATCTATTTTGGACGAAAGCAGAAGCTAAGCATAACATTATTGTACTCATATCCGCAGTATCCGGATGTATGCGTAGTGTAGAGCTCGCGTGTACCGGAAGTGCACGCGTCGTCTGCTGACACTTCCAGCAGTGTTATTGTAAATGATATATTACAGATGTCTGGAGTTAGAAACACGGGAGGTCGGTACCAACTCACAAGTAAGGAGTTTGTCTCAATAACAGTATTTCTTGAACTTACTTGTATACTCGCTAAATATTTATAAACAGCACCTCTCCATCGTATTTTCTGGTCGGGAAGCTGATAGAACACTGGATACTGATAGGTCTCCGATCGTTGAATCCTGGTGTAGCCTGTGTCGGTTTATGATTCTAAGGAAGCTGAGAAACAATCAGTCTGTGCTATGATGGTTTTGTCCTTGGACGGTTTATTCCAATGGCTCTGATTGAAATGCGAGAGTCCTCCCCTCCTAGGGCATACCTCAGAGAACTAGTGCCTAGCTACTACAAGAATACCCCGCATCAAAAAGAATGTTTAGGGGCGATAAACAGACAAGACACACAAACAAACAAACAAATCTCCGACAGCGATATTTTTGTAAATATGTTTGAAAATTAAGATTGATTTCCAGATGGATCGTGAGACCATTTTAGATCTATTTTACCGACGTTGGTATATAATGTTGATAGTATGACCACTCCACACAATCTGAATATATGTATATTATTTCCACACATACGGTCCTCAGAAGAAAACACACTTCTTCCTATGATTTAAGGTGAAGCTCTGAAGAAGAAGAAGATAATAATACCGTATAAAAGAACTTGTCCAGTGATTAAACATCTTTTCTGGAAGTTAGTGATGAATGAATTTTTAATCTACTTCTCTAACATGTAATTAAAACAATGTTTTATTGTTTTAGCTTCGGCACCTGTTATCACTAGCGGACCCCCGGATATTGCGAATGGAACCGGAAGTAACATTGCTATGATATGCGAGGCAACAGGAAGTCCGATCCCGTATATCTTTTGGCTCTTCACAAGGGCTGGTGGAACCGTCTTCAATATGCCTGGTAATACTGTAATACTGCATAGTTGGAAAATGAAAATGAATTTGGAAAGTTTATCAGCGGTGATCTAACACGTTTTGTAAATTTTATGTGAAAAGAACACAACTTAGAATCATGTACTTTGCATTCAGTATTCATATTACAACTCTTCTACTATGGACATTTTACGTTAACAAATACTTCCGTTAAGCTATTTCCGGTTTATAATTTCAGGAGCTGACAAAGACATATCCATGAACCTTCGTGGGGGACCAGAAGAGAACCAAGTAACGGGCTGGCTTCAGATAATGAACATCGCTAAAATACACGAAGGAGATTACAAATGTGTTGCTAAGAACACCGAAGGTTCTGATGACGCTTCTGCAAGACTCAAGGTCATCGAAACTATTGGTAAGAATGCGTAGGGCGCACAAGGGGCTTGGTACGAATGTTTAACCTATGTTCCTGGCAAGTTCCTGATCATCGATACTCCATAGGTTACGCTCACTATCGCTCTCTGCACCTCTGAAATATTTCCTGCTAAAATTGAATTTGATTGATCTAAAACGGATTTCAGGTGAGAAAAACTAAACCAATCACAGACTGATACGCTCCTTGAAGATTGCAAGGGAACGACACACAACTTAAAATCCAGTAAAACAAACCGTTATGCGACCTCGTCACTTCGTTTGATATATATCAAAGAGTCAAACTAGTCTTCTCGTCTTACCCTTAAGGTGTCGCACATGGAACCTTCAATTTTGACATGTGATGCTCCAGAGGTACAGAGAGCAATAGTGAAAGTTGAGTGTCGAGGATGCCAGTCTTCGTGGCGTGTTCAGAAATAATAGGTAAAGGTACCATTACGGATTTTCCGTGATATTGATAGGGGTATCTTCCCCTCTGCTAACACTGGTTTGAACATGTATCCAGATTTATAATTACTCAATCACGTTTATTTTGGATTTTATTCAATGACTTGTATGTTGCGATCAACCCTTGTGGTCACTTCAGAAAATGAAACTGTTAGGTTTTTGAAGTCTTAACAGAAATGCGGTGATGAAAATAAGACATTATGTTTCAGAAGGACGCAAATTTTAATTTTAGCTTACTACCATCAGATGGTGGGCTATTCAAATCGTCCTACGTCAGTGGTCCGTCGTCCGTCCGTCCTTAAAAAATATGAAATCGCTATTTCAAAATGACCTAGAGGTATTTTGCCGAGTAATGGTTATTATCCACATTTCTTAAGAAGTACTGAATGGATCTCTCTCAAATTTCATACGTATGTTCCTTTTGGTCTCCACTTGTGCACGTTGATTTTTGGACTAATAAAAAACATAATGACTTCCAGGCGACCTATTTGGATTTCGCCATTTATACAAAGGAATGTTTAAATTTCTTATCATTAAGAGCATTATGCAAGGTCACAAAGGCAAATACATATTGCCAATCGGTGTCCATATTTGCACTTCAGGAACGTCTTGTTAGATGTCTAAGGGAAATTGGGCGGGTTGCTGATAGACCTAGGTCTTGGCGTCCGCGCGTGACGTCACAACATCAGGACTGATTTATTCGTCTCGCGCATTTGCGCAATCGGCACCTTACTGCCTCTGAATCTTAGGTACTCATAACTGTCCGATCCATGCAAAAACTAAGGAAACGATTGCGGGAAGTTGGTTTGCTGGCACGTCACTCGTTTGTAAGTCTGCCCTTTACCGCTGCTTGTCGCATGCGTCGTATGACTTGGGTGGCAGCACATGCCCCAAGGATATTCAAATTGCGGATGAGACCCAGTTCACCTTGTATCGAATTGACTTTTGCGTAGTAAAGACCGATGGGTTTGGAGGTGGATCGGCTATGGTTTGGGGAGGAATCTGACATTGATTTAATCATCACTGGTTGTGGTAGCGGGTAATTTAATTGGCGAAATGTATAGAGATGAAATCCTCCGACCCCATGTTGTCCCATTATTACAGCAAAACAGCCTCACATTCCAGCAGGATAATGTTCGGCCCCATGTAGCGATGATCTGTCGCTAACTTTAATATCCACCCACTGGACAGTCCGCCATACAGCCCCGACTCATCCCCTATTGATCCCTTGTGGGACCAGTTGGATAGACAGGTTCGACGATGCCAGCCTCCCCCTATTTCTCTAGCCCAACTGAGAGCATTCCTTTTGGAAGAATGGGCCAACATCCCAATGAGGAGGATAACTCCATGCCTACGAGAATCCGGGCTTTGGAGAGAGCGAATGGGGGACATACCCTGTATTGACTAGCCAGCTCCACAATTAGTTTCGATTTCAGGTTATAGAATTCTCTTTCAATTCCCTTTAATTGCTCCTAAAAAAACTTACCAGATACATGTCGTTGAGTTTGCAGTATGTTCTGTATGGATTAATCTTCATTCTTACTTAAAGCACTGAACATTAGAATCATCATCAAAGTTTACCCCTTAAGTATATATTAAAAACAGAAAAGTATGTGTTCATTATGCGATTCAGATAATTGATAAATCTATGAAAGTTCAAGCGACCCGACTGTGTTGCATTTCTTTACTTTATTCTTAATCTCTTAAAATTTTCACACACAATATTATAAAGTGCTCACGGTAAATAAGAGATAGAATTAAATTTCCGTTGAATATCCTATCATTATTGAACTGGAAAATAGTTAAAAGGTGCTTCAAGAGTTAGGCTGAAACTCTTGTTTGGAAAATGGAGATTGTCACTAAATTAAAGAAAGAAACATTTTAATTCCTTTTCGACGACCAACGTAATCCTGGAATTACAGTCCAGTTATTGGATTTCTTTGCTACCAGTGGTATCTAAAAATAGATTTCGAGGTTGCTCTGACACAATGTATTCTCACAAAGTGGCAATTTCTTTCAATCCGTTACATTAACCACACATTTCATATTTTCAGACATACCTGAGGAGACAGGCGATGGGATCTAAACATGTGATAGCCTAAAGCAGGGGAGCTGTGACGTCATTAGATGCATGATGACGGCAGAGATGGCGTAAAAAAGGACCCCGTCAGTCTTTCTTACTTCATTCATTAGTTCTTCGGTAGATTTTTTTCGCGCAATTTTAACATTTTGTTATTTTCATTCTGCTGGTATTAAACATGTTATATTCTAATGTGTGTTTCCATGGAGACGAGGATGATGGTAACCGATGGAATTTCTGTTTTCGACCTGAAAGTGTCATAGAGATGGAGCGAAGATTGCTCTTCACAGACCTGTACTGAACATGTTTCTAGATATGGGATCGGTTTTGATGGCAATATAAAATCTGTTTTATTATTTCCGCTGGACATGCAAAGAGTTGTCGTTCCTGAAATAAGAGGAACGACAACTATAGAAGAGAATGTCAGGTGTTTATTTAAGTCTAAAACCTAGATAACATTGAAATGATGTTTGATTGATGGAATATTTAAATGATAAAGAGGAAATTGTGCACGTATACCATAAAGAATTAGCTTGAAAGACAGGTTTTAAACTGAAGGGGGAACGCGTCATTTTATGTGAATGCTATATTTTTCTAATTCAGAAATGCTTCTTAGATTTTGATAACAATGAACAAAATTTTTAGAACTTAAAATATTTTTTAAGTTCATCCAACTGATATATCACGCCTCGTTTCTTTTTCACCTGAAAAAATCACGAAAACGAAAGCTCTCCAAATTCGTGACGAAATCTACATAGACATTCATGTCTTGGTGTTGCTTTATGTAACTAAGGGAAAATAACATCGTTAGCCATTTCAGTGTTTAAATAACTCTTATATCTATATATAGTTCGCCTATGAAACTTGAAAATGTTATTGACATTCGTTAATATTCCAAAATGAAAGGATCTGATTTTAAAAAGCAAGAAATCGAAATCGGCTGATGGAATAATGAAAATTATAGGTTATCAATGGAGATCGGCATGCTCGGTCTGTTACGAACTGCTTATTTTGATGTCTAAATGTTTTCAGCGTCAGGTGTTAGAGTTGTTTTACATACATGTATTATTTTGTCTTTTGCTAGAATTGATATTGTCTGTAGTTATTTTTTGTCTTTGATGTGCTATACGCATTTGTTCGACAACAAAACGTCGCAAGTCTTCCATAGCAGTACATGTACAGAAACCTGTACATGCGATAGAGAACCAAAGTCAGAAATAAACCATTATAAATGATAAAGACTGACTTTGTTTATTGACACTTATTTTCTCAGTTTTCCAGCTTGCGTTGCAGTACACTGTATGGTAGAAGATTAACCGATCATTTTCTCCAAGATTTCGTCAATCTTTTCCAGTTCACGCCATTACAAGATTCCGTTGAAAAACGTGTTTGTGTCGGATATGAATGTATTTAATTTAATTATTTTTCTGTTTTGCTATTTGTATCATTATCTGGAAAATGACTACATTAGTTTATATGGTCATAAAAGTTATGGATTAAATCGCGGAAGATTAAGTATTGAGTAGTCATCAACCGTCGTGTTTACATTTCGTACTTCTCTTTTCATCTACATACACTGTGACATCAGTGATAATTGAGATGGTAATCTGGCTGCAATAATGGCACAATATCTTTTCCGAAATCGATGATCCATGCCATATGAAAAAGTCTACAGTTGTGTCCTTCTTTTTTGCCCGACATCAAACTTTGACCGTGGCCACGAGGTCAATTATTGGTAGTCCGTGAGCCGATAACTGTGGTAGAGATTGATGCCTCGTAAGTTACTTCCAGAGTGCCCTGCGTTTGCTGTGATTGTAAGGAACGATAACTGTGGTAGAGATGGATGCCTCGTAAGTTATCTCCAGAATGCCTTGCGTATATTGTGATTGTAAGGAACGATAACTGTGGAAGAGATTGATGCCTGGTAAATGACCTCCGGTGTGCCTTGCGTGTATTGTGATTGTAAAGAACGGTAACTCTGGTAGATATTGATGTCTCGGAAGTTACCTCCAGTGTGCCTTGCGTGTATTGTGATTGGCCTACTGTACCTTATTTTAAAAGACAAAGCTCGATTTGATCTGATTGTTAGGCTTATGCAAAGTGTAAATATTATGTTGTACACGATATGTAGAAAAAAGTTTGAACTCTTGTAAATCGAAAAAATGCAGACGATAACAGAGAAGAACTCGATAAGATCGATTTATATACGTCACACCACGGTATTAACTCGACATTTTAAAGCTAGCAACGCCTCAATATTGCAATGCCGCTCCGATGTCCTTGGGTTCTGCTTCAGGTGAGAGGGTCCCATTACAACCCTGGGTACATTGTAGGTCACATCGTTGCTTTTTATCACACTGGATTAACCTATTTACAATGGAACTCTAGAAGGCAAAAAGATCTTTCATTGGTCAAGATCAAAGTCAAACGAAGGGAAGTAACTCTGATATATCGAACGGGAGTTAATTTTTTCCGAATTAATCTTGGCCAAAGTCAAACATAGAAAGCGTGAAAGGTGATATCTTAACCCAGAGAAAATATTGGAATAAAACTATGATGTATGCCATCAAATCTATCTAAAATAGAAATTATTTTTATTTAACTTACTTTCCTTGATTGTTTCACGGACTATTCCTTTATACCTATTTGTTATATCGGAATATAGAACAGCTGATATTAAAAGGAAAAAGTTCGTGTTGCCAGTGTTATATTATTCCGGCATTCGGGAATTTTCGTTAAATTGCTCTCTCGGTAGCGGAAAGACTCGACCCGGTTTATATGTATTTGATTGTATCAGCAATTTCGCTAAATATGTTAAAAGACAAAATATGTTCATTTTGAAAACATCTGTACACTTTCTTCATATAACCAACACGGTTCTTTATGTTCCAAAATTGAAACTGAAATATTTGTTTCACAATGCATTAGGTTTTGCCATACTATTAATGTTTCATTTTTAATATGTTGTCGTTGAAAATTAGCTGCATTAATTATTGATACATTAATATATGTACTATGTAAGTTTTCTGGTAAAAGATTGAACGAAAGCATATCTATGCAGCATACTTAAATAATTCATTAATATGACAAGAAAAGCATGTTCATGTTGTTATGACCTCGTCCCATTCTATGCGCAAAACAATCTGGTGTAACGTATTCATACATTTAACCAGTTACACCTTTGACAAACATGTATTTAAAAGGGATGTATTAAGGAGTTAACAAAAACTTAAAACAAGCTACAAACAAAAAGAAAACTAAACTGAAAAAAATACAACACAAACATTTTATCATCATTATCATTTCGATAAACATATTTACTTAAATATATCAATAACGACAAAAAGTATACAAAGAAAAGATCGATTTCACACATACGAGATCTGGATACTAAAAGTACATCTCATACAGAATGGGATTTCGAATATATAAATGGATTTGCTAATACCACATATGATGAACTCTCATTATAATGAGATCTGATAATCTTGATTACGCTCTTTAGACTCTTTATTATGTGCATTTTAGACACATTTTCCAAAATTTTTTGACATTGCATAAAAACCTCTTTCGACGAAATTTCAGGAGCATATCATACACCACATTTCTTTATGGTGTTAATGGATTATCGTAATTCCTAGTCGCGAGCACATCATAATTTCATCAACACAACTTCAGCTTGGATTTCTATACAATTACTCGCAAAATCTTTTAACAAAAAATCCACAAAGTAACATTAAATATTCAGCGGCAAATTTGAAATAATAAAACAAACAATACAAAAAACGGCATTGTAATCACGGAATCCATATTGACATTTCGAAGACGTTGCCATAGAAGCCAGAAGAGTATTCAGCCAAGCCAGTTGAAGAACCCGTTATTTCCTGTGAAAGAAGAAACAATCATGGTTGTATAGAATTTTGATATAGGAAGGATGTCTAGATGTTCGACTTTTACATTGTACTGACACCTGATAAAGGACATTGTTGAATTCTACAGTAAAACTTGACTTTAACGATAATCTGTTGTTACACAGCGAAGCCTGATTTTAGCGACAACCTGTAACACAGTGAAACCTGAGTTTAGAGTCATCTTGTTCCGACTTCAGTAACCTAACGTAATATATCAAGACTTGACTTCAACAACCTCACGTTATAGAGTGAAGCCTGACTTCAGCAACCTCACGTGATAGAGTGAAACGTGACTTCAGGAACCTCACGTAAAACAGTAAAACTTGACTTCAACAACCTCACGGGATAAGAGTGAAATTTGACTTCAGCAACCTCACGTGATAAAGTGAAACGTGACTTCAACAACCTCACGTGATAAAGTGAAACGTGACTTCAACAACCTCACGTGATAAAGTGAAACGTGACTTCAGCAACCTCGCGTGATAAAGTGAAACGTGACTTCAGCAACCTCACGTGATAAAGTGAAACGTAACTTCAGCAACCTCACGTGATAAAGTGAAACGTGACTTCAACAACCTCACGTGATAAAAGTGAAACGTGACTTCAGCAACCTCGCGTGATAAAGTGAAACGTGACTTCAGCAACCTCACGTAATAAAGTGAAACGTAACTTCAGCAACCTAACGTGATAAAGTGAAACGTGACTTCAACAACCTCACGTGATAAAAGTGAAACGTGACTTCAGCAACCTCGCGTGATAAAGTGAAACGTGACTTCAGCAACCTCACGTAATAAAGTGAAACGTAACTTCAGCAACCTAACGTGATAAAGTGAAACTTGACTTCAGCAACCTCACGTAAAACAGTAAAACTTGACTTCAACAACCTCACGTAAAACAGTAAAACTTGACTTCAACAACCTCACGTAAAACAGTAAAACTTGACTTCAAAACCTCACGTTATGGAGTGAAGCCTAACTTCAGCAACCTCACGTGATAGAGTGAAACTTGACCACAGCAACCTCACGTAAAACAGTAAAACCTGACTTCAGCAACCTCACATAATACTGTGAAACTTTTACAACATTCTGTAATGCAGTACATCGGTTCTTTACCATGTAATACTGAAAATCTGACATTATTAACATCCTGTAATACAATGACATAAAGCCTTCCGGTATCTGAACATGTTGACATGCAATGCAATAGAGCTGAAACACCTGTATTGTTAACGAGGTTTGTTTATACTGATTTTATAATAAATAGATAGATAAATAAACACAAGAGGAGAAATATGACAAACTTTTTTCATGTCGTCCGACTGGTTTGTTTGGTTTATCGCTGCTTTACGTTCTATTAACAGCAAGGTCATTAAGGATGAGCCGGGTTTGGATGGTGGAGGAAAGCCGGAGTTCTCTGTTAGGTCAGACTAAACAGAGTCGAGAATGGAATTTCCTGGACAGCCCCTGGAATTGCCATGTTCATGGCCCGACATGTTTATATATATATATATAGACAATCGACATACTTACCTCTATGTGTTGTTTGTTCTGTGATGTTGTAGGTCGCCTCCATGCCCATATTTATGTGATCATTGAGGTGACAGTGAAGAATCCACACCCCTGGGTTATCCGTCTTCATTTCAATAGTTTCGTAAGTTCCGGGGAATACCTCAATTACATCTCCTCTATGAACGACGTTATCACGATGAAGGAATGTCTGACCATGGAAATGGACAGTGTGGATATCAAACGAGGACCCCAAGCCAAGAATATACCAAGCAATTGTCTCGTCAATTTCCATATTTAAACCGTGTAAATTTCCGTAAATCTTTCCGTTTATCATGTTCATTTCATTGCTTAGTTTGAATTGCGTATCATTTAAGTTGGTTTCATTTGACCCATATTTTTGTATATTTTCTGATAGCAGCCAGCTTTCGTTTTCATCCATAACGTTAAATAAAAGGGCAAATTCTCGGTCGACGTCACGTCGTGTCGTATCACCATCAACTAAAGTGCCTCGTCGGCAGACCACAAGCGGTCCAACTAAGCCAGTGTTCATGTCTTTGATAGTATCTACACCAGAGTAATATATCCAGGTAACACAGTTCGGTTCTCTGTAGTCTTTTGCTGGACCTGCCCTCCGAGGTACTCGCCACGTGTAAGTATGTGTTCTCCCAGGATACACCTGATCTCCGTTTCCGGTTCCGTCATTAACAGTGTTTTCGGCGTCGTCGCTAGGTTTACCTTGTAATACCCCATCGTCGTTCTGGTCATAATATACACCATGTGCGTGAATTGAATAAGGACGACCGGCGAAGTTACGAAACGTGACGATAATCGTGTCCCAAATTTCCGCTTTGATCACTGGTCCCAGAATTCCCAAGTGTTCCTCTTCCGGTGTTCTTACTTTCATGGTAGAGAATGTTTCGTCGGTATACTCTCTGTAAACAACTTTTTCACGAGTACTTCCCAGAAATCCATTATCTGTCCTAACAAATAGGTGACCATTGCTAGAAAAAGAAAAAGACATATTTTATGTAATTGGGATAATTAAACTTCATTTTTATAATCATTTTAACAAGTCGTCATACTTTTACACTAAGCTAAGGCTATTTACTGATTTGTTGTTTATGTGACGGTTTTCAAATAAATTTTGTGGTCCTCTTAAAGTTGTAGGAACAGTAAGTCCATTTGTAACACAGCACCATATCACGATCGTAATTGTTGCTTGATCAACAGTATTCGGTTAAAGGCTGAACCGGTGGACGGGTACGAATGGACAAAACAACAATTGTGTAACAGGAACATAGAGTTGTACTTTGTTGAATAAAGGATATTACAAATTGTATGTTTACTTATATTTAAAATATATAGCACGGATTCTGATAACGCCACATGCCCAGCAAAAAGCCTTGATGCTATTACTATGTATTCATGTACCAAATAGCAGCCATCATATGACGTAATAAGAAGAATAATTTAAAGGACGAAATCAATTTGTGCTTACATGTTCGGGTCGCTAAGGTTATGGCTGGTTATAAGATCCATGTTTCCTGGTGCATAATCCCATGTGATATTCACTGCTGCAATGTAGTAATGTCTTGTGGCACCTCTCCAGTAAGCGTCATTAATGACGTCATGATATCCATTGCAGTCATGTACATGATATTGAACACGCATGCCTGTCCGGAAGTGAAAGTTAGTTCTACACACGATCTGCCAATCTCCTGTTAAATAGTTAAATAACGATTGCTCAGTTTCCATTTTAAACAAACTGTATGTCTAGAAGTCTTGTTTAAAGACTCCACAGTGTTTATCAATTTTCGGGTAATCTGACTGCTGCTTTGGTATATATCGATACTATCTTATATAATATCACTGCTTTAGATAAAGTTACAATTGTTTTGAATAAAACACCACGTTTATATACAGCTATCGCCATTAATCCTATACAATAGAGCATCGATTTAATGGCCTTCGTTTACACAGTAAAATGTATCGTGAATCCCGTCTAGGAAAAATACTACCCTTCATTTCTATGCAGAAGGAAAGACTCCAAGTAATGGCCTATTTTAGACACGGCAAATCTTCGATATAATGACCTTCCTTTATATACAGTATTAAAACCTCGATGTAATGACCTTCCTTTATATACAGTAAAACCTCGATATGATGACCTCGTTCAGACATAGTAAAACCTCGATATGATGACCTCGTTCAGACATAGTAAAACTCGATTTAATGACCTCGTTCAGACAAAGTAAAACCTTAATATAACGACCACCATTTAGAGACAGTTAAACTTTAATATAACGACCTCAGTACATTTACAAAAAAAAACTTCGAATTAAGGACCTCGTTCAAACACAGTAAAACCTCGATATAATGACCTCATTCAGACATAATAAAACCTCAATATAACGACCACCGTTTAGAGACAGTAAAACTTTAATATAACGACCTCAGTATATCTACAATAAATCTTCGATTTAATGACCTCGTTCAAACACAGTAAAACCTCGATATAATGACCTCGTTAAAACACAGTAAAACCTCGATATAATGACCTCGTTAAAGACACAGTAAAACCTCGATTTAATTACCTTCGTTTAGACAGTAAATATCGATTATGTTAAACCTCAAGATCAAAAGTAAACGACAGTTACCCGAACTAGACACTAACAAATCCCAAATATAAACCTCCCTCCCCAGCTGCCCCCTCCCTCACCTTAAAATGAGTTAAGAAATAGGAAAGAATAAATAAAAGATTTTGTCCAAAGAAATAATTTCAATGTATTCCGATGTTTTAAAAATGAAAACCAAAAAGAAATCAAAAGTCCAGTTTCTGTTCTCCGGAAAAAATCTGTTAAAAAAATAATGAAAAACTAAAGATTTCATTAATCCTCTATTAAGATTAAAATTTAACATTTTAAAACCTTGCCTGCGTTATCGGGAGTCATTTCGCCAGTAAAACTGGATCCAGGTATAACGACCTTTGACGCTCTGTTTGAACCATCGATCTTCATTGTGTTGCCATGGAAATAAGTGCCATGCATACTGACAAAGTCACCCACTGAAGCGACATGCCATGTGACGTCATCACCGACGCACATGTCCAATCCTTTTAAGTTTCCATACATACGACCGTTGATTGCTGAAGTTTTTTAAAAGCATTCTGTTTTCAATATTTCTGGGATATTTATACATACAATTGCTATGCTTAAAAAAGTAATTTTAACGAATGCATCTTTAGAACAGGGAAATTTATAGAAACTTGTTTTTAAAAAAAGGCGACAAACCGGCGAATAAATGAAACGGACTACTACAGAGACATGTGAAGGTCTCCAATTAAATGTGTGAATGTAACTTTTCAAAACCATGATATTGTCATAAGTACTTCTGATTAAAAGAGAAGCCGTGTACCCATAATAATATATAGTTATATATTTAAGGTGGGTGGATGACGTGACTTACAATGCATTCTATTGGATGCTACAAATTCCGGATCTTCTTTGTTGACACTGCCGGGATCTTCGGTATGTACCCGGATGTTGTCGTCAATGTACCAAGATTTGTTTTCGTCAATCGTCAGGTAGAATATTGCAAAATCTTTTTCCACGTGTTTCTAAATGTTTTGATTTCAAAAAAGTAAGTTTCAGTTTTGATCACAACTTTGTATAAATTTCGTCAGATAAAAACCTACCAGAAATATACATATATATATCCAGTATTTTCGGAAACTCAGAGCAAAAGTTCGTCTTCATGTATAGGTTGATCTGTTTACTAAGCATTGCGTTTGGAAATATGGCAAGCAAAATGCAATATATATATACGACAGTACAAACATTTCGAACTGGAAATATGTTGCAGTGTAAACGTTGTTGTTATTTCACATGTACATGTAACTTATCCTTCATATCGCCCTTCAGTTTCAATATCTACGATCACACATTGTTTTATAATATTTATCAATTGAGATCGATATCTCATACTATTGACATGAGGTAACGGAAAGAGATCGATAGCTCATACCACTGACATGAGGTAACGGATAGAGATCGATAGCTCATACCATTGACATGAGGTAACGGATAGAGATCGATATCTCATACCATTGACATGAGGTAACGGATAGAGATCGATAGCTCATACCATTGACATGAGGTAACGGATAGAGATCGATATCTCATACCATTGACATGAGGTAACGGATAGAGATCGATATCTCATACCATTGACATGAGGTAACGGATAGTTTCAGAAGTCCCGACTGGCGATTTCCGTTACGTAATTGCAGAAACGGCTACAGTCGGAAAAAGCAGGACACTATGGAAATGCTAGGTAAGTCAGTCGATTAAAGCTAATATTTCATTTATTTCTTAAGGAATGAAACGTTGACCATTCAGAATGTATCAACATGATTTTCAAAAGTGCTCTCAAAGCTAGCTTAGCTACTGAATAAGTCATGACGATAAAAAAAATTCATAGTAAAAATTATTTCTTAAATCGCAACATCGAATTATCTTTTTAACCCTTTATGAGCCCCTGTGCTTTTTATTGCCGAGTTAACCTCAGTTACGATAACTTCAGAAAAGATAAACATCTTAATTTTGATAAATTATGATTTAAAGATATGCTTCGCAAGTTCATATCGTGATTAATAACGTTTACTATAGGATATTAATTTTTTGTCGGACCTCGAAGTCATTCCTTTCCACGTGGTGTCGTACCTGTCTGCCATGTTTGTCCAAACTCCATGCTTTACACACCAACAATGGCCCCATCAGTCCTGAGTGTATATCCCTAACTGGGTCCACAGCGGAGTGATACACGTAGGTATTACACATGGGGTCATCACCGGTCGGAGACACTGACCATGGCACGGTGAATGTGTAAGTCACAGTTTCCCCAGGAGCAGCAAATTTGCCGGTCAGATCGGTTGCTAAAATCGAAAATGGCACATGCTTGTACATGTGTTATTTTTAGATTAATTTATCCCGACGCAGTCAATCTGATTTGAACTTTGAACGCATTTTCTGCCATTTCATTGTTAAAACAAAAGTTTTTTTTGAGTACTCCAGTTGTACGATTTTAGAATATCCGATTATAAAATATAATTGAAAGCACACTGAACTCATTCCTTTGAGTTGTCAATTCATACAGGTATAGGTAAATATGATACCTCACTATTATGACCACCATGGCGATGGGCAAAAGTGGTCTTCATTTAGTTTCTTAGTATACAAATTTTATATTGTGTAGTAGTATTTAACCGAGAAAAACAACGATGTTTTGATTATGGAAATAGAATTACACGTTTAAAGCGTTTGCACAACCAAGATCAAATACTTACATAACGGACTTCCTCTGTATAAAGCGCCCTCCTGATCCTTATCTAGTTGTACACCGTGTGGTAAAAAAGAATAGTTTCGGGAGGCTAGGTTCCGGAAAGTCACTTGTATTTTTTGTCCAACAGCAACACGTAACATAGGTCCTAGAACACCGAGGTGTTCCGAATCAGAAGAAGGTTTCATTTTTGTCTGAAATTTACAGTCAGTATATTGTACGTATCGCACCTTTTTGTAAATTCCACCGATGAACTTTGGACCCTTTTTGAAGTATCTTTTCGAAAAACTGCAAAATGAACATAACCTTAATTTTAACGTGACTATTAAACCCTTTTCAAGAAAATGTGTAAAATGTTACATGAAAGTATACGCACACATATAATTCTATAGTAAGACTGTTGTTGTGTATCATGTTTTATATGGGTAAATTACATAATTACATGGTCTAGGGGAGATAATATCGCTCCAATTGCATATGAGTTATCGCCCTTCATTGTAACAATCGAGAGTTCAAATATGCTGCTAGTTATTTATATCCGTCACGCACCTATTGAAATCAGTATTCAACTTTTATGCGATTGGTGGCGCTTCACCTCACCTGCCATTTGCTAACAAGTCAGTTCCATCAATGGTATCCGTTCCAGTAGGCCCATAATCCCAATCACTTTCTTCGGCTGCCAGAAAGAACTTCTGATCTATCTTTGGTCTCCTACGCTTTTGGTACAAGTAACGTCGATAATTTTGCACCACAGTGAAAAAAGCCTGCATTCCACCTATGAAATAAGAGGATGGATACGTTATCTAGAAAAATCAGGAAGGACAATTTAGGAGGATAAGAGGTGTAAAACACTATAACATTATTACGAAAATAGACACACCATTGGGAATGAACCATCAGACATTTTGATGATGTAATGATGTAACAAGTGTGTTACTTTGGGAACAAAGAATCTCACCTTCGTATTCATTTGTTGTTCTGGATTGGAGCAGCCATCGTCCAGGGGAGGTAACTTTCATAATAGCAGAGACAAACGTTGCAGGAAAAATACTAATAGTATCCAGTCTAAAAATAAAGTAATTTTAATTCATCGTATATGTATATTGAAAAAATATATTGTTCGTTGTCGTTATATTTATAAGTATTGGAAGCGTATTAACCGAAAAAAAATGCAAATACCTTTTTCGACGATAAGAGAAAGTTTGGCCATTGATTGTAACACCGCGCATGCCCTCATTCATGCCCATAAAATGCCATGCAACCGTGTCGCCTTCTCGTGCTGATAAATCTGGCAAATTTCCAAACATGTAACCATTGATGGCGGGCATGCGGTTACTTCCGATAAAACCAGACTCTTTTAATTGATGTAGTTCCAGGCAGTTTGAAGTATTGTCACATTTGTTTAGATTTTCTAATATTTTCCAACTTTCGTTTTCATCAACGATTTCGGTGTAGATAACAAAATCTTTGTCCACATCTTTTCGGAATCCTCGTTTATTTAGAATTCCTGTAACAAAATTACATGTATATGTTTATTTTGAACATTAAAATAGAACATTATTACGAGGCTGATAAATATTTATTTACAGAAAAATACTTACACTAAATAACATTTTTTATTCATTAAAAGACTAAGTACTTGTGAAAATTACCCTCAAAATAGTTTCAACAATATCATTTTGATTAATAGGAGGTTTCCGTTAAACTACCGCGAGAAGATGATTTTTTTTGAAGTTCGAACCTTGTCGGCATGTGAGAAGACATCCAACCAATCCCGTGTTGATATCCTTTACGGAGCTGACGTGTGAATGGTAAGCCCACGACACACAGTTTTCGTCATATGCGGTGGGTCCGAAGTTTTTTGTGATTTCCCATGTATATATATGACTTCCGTTTGGCGGCACACCGTCATCCAACTTATGCGTTTGATTGGTACCGTCCACATATAAAGCGCCTGAAATATGTTTACATAGACTTAAAAGAGACCTTAATTATGGATAATCATATATTTAAGTTACCACATCATGAATATTTTTGGTGTTCTACTTTTTAACCCAAAACTGAACTTTAAATTAAACTCCAGGTCCTAATGTCAGTGCAAAATATTTACTTCATTGACCCTGCCATTTCATGAAATGACAAATAGACACTGCTTGAAGAAAATTAATTGGGATCTGCATGCCAACCATTTCTTTTAAATATTTACATATTCATATACATATACTCCTTAAACGTTAATGGTGAATGTAAGCATAAAACCAGTTTAAAACATACTTCCAAATCTATTTTCAAAAATGCTCCAGTGCAATCATTTACCTTCAGAAAGCTTATCATATAAGACACCGTGAGGATGCATGCTGTAGTTTCGACCGGAAGCCAGGTTCTTAAAGTGAATTTCAAGAGTGTCTCCTATTTCCGCTCGCATGATTGGACCAAGATAACCCATGTATGGAGGGGAGGAAATCTCATTTTCGAAACTCTCGTCCGTAAACTGTCTGTATATAACTTTCCTATAAACTGCTCCGATTCTATCTTCACTGTGATTCAGCTTTGTCGCCGCGACACTGGAAAATGAAGGGAGGTTATCCTCATATCGGTGAAACCTGGGACGGACGTATCATTTTAGAATTATATGTTAGAATTTTAGAATTATACGTCACTGCTGAGACGAGTTAACATCGAAAGCAATTAAAAGTTATCAACCTCGGGTGTGTAATTGATACAATTATTCACTGTTTCTGATAATTCGCTTGGGTCATTGCTAAACCTGAGAACAGGTCATGTGTTAGGAACGGGAACCTGAGAGCAGGTCATGTGTTAGGAACGGAAACCTGAGAACAGGTCATGTGTTAGGAGCGGGAACCTGAGAACAGGTCATGTGTTAGTAACGGTAATCTGAGAGCAGGTCATGTGTTAGGAACGGGAACCTGGGAACAGGTCATGTGTTAGGAACGGGAACCTGAGAACATGTTACGTGTTAAGAACGGGAACCTGAGAACAGGTCATGTGTTAGGAACGGGGACCTGAGAGCAGGTCATGTGTTGGGAACGGCGACCTGAGAACAAGTTACGTGTTAGGAACGGGAACCTGAGAACAGGTCATGTGTTAGGAACGGGGACCTGAGAACAGATCATGTGTAAGGAACGGCGACCTGAGAACAGGTCATGTTTTAGGAACGGGAACATGAGAACAGGGCATGTGTTAGAAACGGGAACATGAGAACAGGTCATGTGTTAGGAACGGGAACATGAGAACAGGTCATGTGTTAGGAACGGGGACCTGAGAACAGGTCATGTGTTAGGAACGGGAACCTGGGAACAGGGCATGTGTTAGGAACGGGGACCTGAGAACAGATCATGTGTTGGGAACGGGAACATGAGAACAGGGCATGTGTTAGGAACTGGGGCCTGAGAACAGGTCATGTGTTAGGAACGGCGACCTGAGAACAGGTCATGTGTTAGAAACGGGGACCTGAGAACAGGTCATGTGTTAGGAACGGGAACCTGGGAACAGGTCATGTGTTAGGAACGGGGACCTGAGAACAGGTCATGTGTTAGGAACGGCGACCTCAGAACAGGTCATGTGTTGAAAACGGGGACCTGAGAACAGGTCATGTGTTAAGAACGGGGACCTGAGAGCAGGTCATGTGTTAGGAACGGCGACCTGAGAGCAGGTCATGTGTTAGAAACGGGGACCTGAGAACAGGTCATGTGTTAGGAACGGGAACCTGAGAACAAGTCATGTGTTAAGAACGGGGACCTGAGAGCAGGTCATGTGTTAGGAACTGGGGCCTGAGAACAGGTCATGTGTTAGGAACGGGGACCTGAGAGCAGGTCATATGTTAGGAACGGGGACCTGAGAACAGGTCATGTGTTAGGAACGGGAACCTGGGAACAGGGCATGTGTTAGGAACGGGGACCTGAGAACAGGTCATGTGTTAGGAACGGCGACCTCAGAACAGGTCATGTGTTGAAAACGGGGACCTGAGAACAGGTCATGTGTTAAGAACGGGGACCTGAGAGCAGGTCATGTGTTAAGAACGGGGACCTGAGAGCAGGTCATGTGTTAGGAACGGGAACCTGAGAACAGGTCATGTGTTAAGAACGGGGACCTGAGAGCAGGTCATGTGTTAGGAACGGGAACCTGAGAACAGGTCATGTGTTAAGAACGGGGACCTGAGAGCAGGTCATGTGTTAGGAAAGGGGACCTGAGAACAGGTATATTTAGGTTCTTCCCGACGTGTTTCAAGGGACATGACGATAAAAACATTAATTTTGGTGTCGATTGACCGTGTTTTATAAATCTTTAGTTATTTTTTATGCTTTCCTGATATTCACGGTGAATTTCCAATACCTAGTTTGACCACTAATTTAGCGCTAATAACGTTACGTTTTTAAAATCTTTAGTTATTTTTTATTTTTGTAATATATATATATATATATATATAAATATATAAATATATTTTTACAAAAATAATGCGCCTCGTTTTATATATATATATATATATATATATATTTTAACAACAACAGATACCATCCTCACAGAGCGAGTTCACTCAGAAATGCCTTTTTGTTAGTGATCTAATGATTCCGCGTTTTTGTGAAAAGTTTTTCTTTATTTAGTTTTTGGCCTGTGTGAAATTCGAGTACATTAACTACACAGGTATTTCTAATAATAATGAAAAAAGAAAAAACGAGAGAAACATAGTGAATATATAATTGCTTCGGATGTTCCTTCACTGACACACCCAAATTTCCATTTTATTTCGCTCCAATTACCACGCTGATGGTCATTTGAGAAAACGAAATCGACTCTTTTGGTCAATTGTCATGTTAATGTGCCGGATCTCTATATCCGTATACATTATATCTAATCTTACCTTTTAACACGTACAGAATCACTCTTAAATCATAATCACTAAAAATAGACTCGGGTCTAAATTGGACAATTGTAAGTAACCCATTAGATCCTAGAAATACACTGGACGTTGTGGATAAAATTTGGTAATTTGAATATAAAATTTCCGTATGCAGTTCCGACATTTCGTAATAATAAGTTGTCTGTTATGATGGGAACATCTTTATCATTATGTCATAAATTGTGAGAAAATTGTATAAATTGTCACGTAAACTAATGACATAACAACACTGACCTCTTACAGCAAATGACTCTTCATTTCGTAGCAGATTGTGTTACTGTACACAATATACACGCACGATATACTTTTTTATAGCAAGATAACATTTTCATAACAGAATTATATTTTACTGGTACGATACCTCTGCCAACCTTACACACAAACTCACACTCACGTAGCATTAGATAAAAAAGTCACTTCTAAATGTTTATTTGCTTTCCCCTAATGTCTTCAATCATGATTGGTCCTACTATGTAACACATTACCATTATGACCAATATTGTGACGTCAGAGATTATTATGACATGACGTCACACACAATTCGCATCATGACGTCATAAAGCACGGCAAAGAAAAACACGGTTTCTTCAAGTTATTTGCATATGTAATCAATCGAATCTGAAACTCGTTTCTTTCTTATAAAACCCGTCTCAAACTTTCAATTTAACTTTTCTAAATACAAAGTTATTTGACTCGAAATGAAAAACTCAGACACGCCACCGTTACAATTGATTTGTATAGTCTCGTTATAAAGATATCCATCGGACAAGTTAGCGGTACAAGAAAGTGCCACACAAGATAATAGCAAATATTCCCTTAAACAGACCAAGATTCTTTTTAGCAAAGGTACATACAAGCAGGCGTCGAATAATCTAACATTACAAAAGATAATACATTTTTCAATATGAACATGATAACAACTACTAAACTTTCTTTGAGTCGTCACTAAGCGGAATCTATCGACAACCTGAGCGGCATGTTTTACAATCAGTTGTTGAAATCTACCACGACAATCATAATACCGAGAACAAACCATAGATACCAAACAATTGCATTACATCAATACCAGAAGTTGGAAAAGTAGGCATGTTATTGTACATAAAATGAAAATTCAATATACTGAAGTAGAGATCACCACACTAAATATAAAGCTTAGTATCGTATGCTTCGTTTCTGTACTTTCGATAGACTCAAAATTGATAAAGAAATTCAACTAGATTTTTGGATGATTGAAATTATAACCAATTTGACCGATTAGATTGTACAACGGCAATAGTTTATAGGATTATCTATATCCTGTGATATATTTGTCTGCATCAGGGGTAATATTGAGGAAAAGTGATAGCAATGTATAAATACCTGATATCTTCCGTCACAAGATTGAATCCATCAGGTGCGTAATTCCAATCCACTTCTACGGCAGCAATGTAATATCGTCTCGTTTTCCCCGATCTCCAAAATACACTGTGCGCTAAAATGAAAAACTCGCACAAAACCAAACAAATAAAAAGTTTCTTTTCCATCTTGTTTTCTTAACAAAATATTAAAACAGTATCGCTCTTGTAGTTTTAAAACCACTATAAACTATAGGTATAAGATATGCTTATATATACGAACAATGTATCTGGATTGACCAATAAAAAGGGAATGTACAATACGTATGATTTGCTATTAAATATTGTCAAATACCGGATACCTTCTTTCCGGGAATGGGTCAGGTTTTAGGTAGATTTTACGATTGCGTTACCTTCAGGATGTACCTGTAATAGACTCAAATCTATCGAGAGTAAACATGAACCAGGATTTCGGTTGAACCTCTCCATGACGAAATGATCAACGCGTGATTCTATTTGTGATTTTGAGTTATCTTCCTGGTCTATGTTTGTACGTGTGTTTATTTAGATTTTCTGTATTTAATTACAATATGGCGACATACTTTACATTAATCATCTAATACCTGCATCATATTTTAAAAGATGATTAAACAACCAGTTCCTAGAATAATGGTGGCTCATTTATAATTAAGTTTTACAACTCATTTATGAAATAAATAAAATAAATAAATTTCATTAATGTAAAATTTTGATTTGAACGAGATTTCCATTCTGTGCCCCTATGAATTTGTTTGTATTTGGAATTGGTGTCTTTGTCGGAGCATATTAAACACTTAAGGACAATTAATGCAACACAAATATTAAAAGTTAGTTCCTTCAGAGATACATTGAAAACTATGGATGTATATAAATTATCTACGACACTAATCTTGTGTTCAATAATTATGAAAAGGAGTTGGTGAGGGTCGTCTTTCAGAATCTCTATATTTGTGTGTATATTCATATACCTATATATAATCAATGAATAACGACAGCTCGGGCAAGCGAATTGTCAAATTTTCGAGGCAACCCACCCCTTTGTCAAGACACAAATATTACATAAGTTACATTACATACATAGAACATAAAACAAATATAAAGTTGTAAGCTGAATCGAGAGTGGTGGTGTAAATTTAGGTATCTTGAAACTCCATCCAGCCGATAGACCCCGAAGGCCCTTTATAACGGACAAAAACTGTCGTAAGTTGTTGTATAGAAGGTGTTGCTTAAAATATATAAAAAAATATATAAAACATGTTTATATCAATCTCGGTGTATTTTGCACTGTAGACACTGAGCGTATATGTGACCGAGGAAAGTAGTCTATCCAATTGTTTTCGTTGCGATCACATACACGCTCAGTGTCTACAGTGCAAAACATACCTACATCAGGTGTCGGTAAACTCAGGGTGTCGGTAAACTCAGGTGTCGGTAAACTTAGCATAAAGAGTTCACTAGATGTTCGTCGGAAATATGTCGCTAAACCCAATTGTCAATACACTGAGGTGTCGATAAAAGCAGGTGTTTGTAAACCGAGGATACAGCGGTGTAATATATGTTGGATCAATTTTGCTGTACAGCTGGCGGTAAACTTAAGTTGCAGTAAACTGCAACCTCTGAAAAATTGTCATCATTTTTATGAAAGGTGTACGAGTTAATGTGTGGCGTTTCAGGTCATACCCTCACCACAAACGACGTATGTGAAAATACATGTTGGTCAGGTGTCGTAATATCTGTGGCTTAATCAAGAATAAACCGGATTTTGGTCTCAACTCGGAACAAACAATATAGAAAAAATCTGCTGAAGTATAAGATAATTACGAACAAATAAAATGCCTGTTGCCTGATCCTTACAAATTCCATTGTACAAATAGAGACTGTTTACCTTATCCGTGAAATATGACCACAATAAACACATCGTGTCTATAAACACGCCCACGAACTCAGTTTAAACGTCGGTAAGGTCAGTCCCACAAAGTTGGTAAAACCATGTAACGAAGAAAGTTTTATAATACGGACACATGCAAATTTAAAATCCTCACTTGTTTGATCCTTACTGATACAGCGATAATTATCAAAGCCATTTATCAAAAATCACGCTGTATCCTAAGCGATGCGAGGACCATCATTTATACCGACTTTAATTTACATATCAAACAATAATTGAATCATGTTAATGTGCTTGGTAAGAAATGCAATGCGTTTAAATGACATCAAAATCAAATGAACATAATTCTTAACTATTTACTCGTACTTGGATTGTTCGGTCATTCATAAAAAACCATCCCGGACTTTATGTAGACCAGTGAAGTACCTCGTGTTTGCTGACACGAGGTTGATATATTCCTTTACACGGTTATTGTACTACGTGTCTCTAATCATGTATGCGAGATACATCTCTCATATGAAAATTGATTTACAGTGTGTATTTTACAGGTGCAAAGGTAGACTATATACCTGCTTTCAAATTTTATCAAGAATTGTTCTTCTAAATTCTTGCATTAGCTTATCCACACCCCTTAGTTTGGAAATTCTAGCATGATAAAGCTCAATTTTTATTTTTCAGATATTCTATAGACAGGGGGTTCGTCCGACAAGTAGGTGTGTTCTCTGAATAATTAAATTTGACCATCCAGCACTAAATTAGATATAAAAACAATAAATAATCACATTTGACGATTTATCGCTGTACAACACAAAGCAACACTAAAACCTGAAATTATTTTTTATCCGGAAAAAGAAGACCAAAGGAATTGAAACAAAGAAAAAAAAACACTTATAATTTTGTAGACTAGGAATATGATTAATTTTGTTCTCTTCAGCCAATTTAAGTACCGAGAAACCTACTACACCACGATTACACATATCATGTTCTATCATATCCTATGTTGTTACATTTATTGTTATACGATTAATTTTACATTATATCATGGTGGACAAATATTACTAAAATTATTTTGATAGATTCATAGTTATTTCAAGGTTTGAACGATCTAGCTCTTTACACTTAATTGCATTTGGACGTATGTCATGATATTTTGGGACTTCTGTGTCGTTTGTGTCACGATGAAGGCAATTTCATTTTGGTGTCCTACATCATTCCACCAGTTAAATTCCACTATGTATTTACTGTTACTTGTTCTAAATACAGAGTAAGGTACTTGCATTATTGTTTTATATTATCAAAGTGTTTTTAAAAACAGTTTGGAAATTCTAGAATCAGACACATCTGAGAGGTGAAAATAGCAAACTGGTACCGGAAGATTAAGAATTATCACTATTACAAGTTTGTAAGACACAGGTGTAGAAGCTGCTTAATATTAACTGTGAGGAGCTCTTAAAAGCGCAGGATGAAAAGGGGATAAACGATCAGTTATATGAGTTACCTCCCTTGGCATGCATCTCTGCACACAGTCAAAGGTTGATACGGCTCATTTCAAAACAGTGGTATTTTCTTCTTCTATACCTCATCAGTTTAACTTTTTAAATGGTTTTAACATGTTCAATGTATACTGTTTATCAATACAGGTTTATAACGAGGTAGTAATGCTTGACTAACGACAGGTTTGCCATTCCAATGGCTTCTTTTTGAGTGATTTGTGTTTGTATCCACTTTTTTTAAAAATTCCGGCAGCACAGCAGGTAACGCACTGGTCTTTCATAAAACCAACTGGTGTTCGATCCTCCGACTGTCGGTCACGTTGAATTTTCTGTTGGTGTTCCCTTATACCTATCAAAATTTGTATAGATGCGCGCTTCCGTCCGGGCTATCGTGAGAGATTGATGCACACCGAATCACCAGTTTTCACAATGGTTTTGACGCAAGTAGATAGTTTATTATTAGGAAAATTTAACTAAAATATAAATATTGATATTTTAGTAAAAGTGGTTTTCTGTATATGATTCTGTTTTCAAAATTAATATAAAAGGAATGAAATATATTACCTGCTACCAGGAGACTGCTATATTAAAGCTGTCAGAGACTACTACTGACGCAAATAACAGGTAAAGATATATTGTTATCAAAAAGTAAGTATTCAATATTTTGGTAATATTCTGAATCGTTTTCAAGCTTACATATTATATGTCGCATTTTAATTTTAGCCACTGTCAAAACATGCCTCGTCATACATTATTATACCTGTCAGAGTTGTCTTTCTTTGCTTGCTATCATTCGTTAGTGCGTTACCCTTTTAATATTTATTTACACTCAAAGCTTTATCAATAATATTATATGTAAAAATGTTGCTTTCTTTTTTATCCATTGATTGAGTTATTATTGTGTAGAATTAAATCACTAGATTTTATGTAAAAATATCTTAGAATAATACACATTTCCAAAAATTGTCACCAAATTGTCCGAAAAAAATATTGTACCCCAAATACAATACGGTCACTGATTCGTTACATCAATATCTTTTTCTTTAAAACAAAATTTACCAGATTCGGAGATTCCAAAACCGGAAGTTGAATACATGAAACTTTCACGAAACAATATTTTCTCTCCATTCCTCCAACATGAACAGTCTTACTTTCGATTCAACAATCGCGGTAACCATGGTGACGGGAATTGATTTTATATGAATGACATTTGCATCTAAAAGTGGGTAAGATTCTTCACGGATGTGACAAGAGTAAATAGGCAATGCTGCCTTAAGATGTACAAATAGTGTTTTTATGGAATTAAAGTGATTACCCGTATCTAGTAGCCGGCCTTGTATCCCTAAAGAGAGGGACAACCATTTATAATTAGTAAATTGTACACACCATACAACGACATGCACATGCACTTGGCGCGATTTGCGTGGCTTGGCATGGTACACGTGCACCTCACGTGCGCCCAATATAACCCCTAATCTCTGACAAGATGTCACGTGGATATATCGTGTCAACCGTTGAATAATACATATCAAAATTACAAAATGCTTGACGTATTTTTTTCTGCGAATGTTTCAATTTCGTGAAATCGTTCTATTATTAAAAAACAAATGTTCATGATTTTATTTCTTATTTACTAAGTGACGGAATAAAATAGCATTAATATATCGTAGGATACTGATACTAACATCGTTTTCGGGGATATTTATTATTGCGATTGTGCACACGGATTTGAATACAAAATTATTAGGACATCTTGAACCATAAACAAAAAAAAGT